ACATTGGTGAATGCCACAAATTCTCCTAAATCACTCGTACGCACAACTTAAGAACAAATCTGTGCGTACGAACGGTTCTTGCATGAGGCCCAATGACTTGTGGCCACGAGATAAATATTGGAGCCATTTCTATGAAGAGACTGTTTATTTTTAACATGGACAAGTTTGAATTAAACTAATTTTATTTTAATATAGGAAAGAATGATGTACTTCAGTCACTTGCAGTTAGACATGAATTAATAGTGTTATGTGTTGCAGCTATAAGACACCGATGACGACTGGAGTTCTACTTGTCCTAAAAGCTTCTTTTTTTAGCTTAACAATTAAAACAGGCTCCTCTCTCACATTGGACCTATGCTGCAGTGTTGTGTCACGTTCAGAAACACAGTAAAACACTTTTCTGGACATTCACCATTCACAGTCATCTCGCCAATACCATGAAAGAGGAACCGTTTAGGTTGAACTCTTTGGATTAAACATACACCATAACAATTTATAATAATATGTTTGGGGTATTTTTGAACAGTTAAAAACAAAAACAGTGTATTCATTCTGTGTCCATCAATGTTTGTTTCTCTCATGAAGAGATGCGGTTGCTCAAAATTATCTTGTGGCCACAGCTTATTATTTTGTGGCCACACATTGACTATTTTATGGCCACATAGCTGTACTTAGGTCATAAAAGTTTATCATTTTAATTTTATTTTTACATTGCACATACTTCTAATAAAATGGCAGTTGTTGATTTTATTACATTACATTACCTGAAAGATTTTAAAACAAAAATGAAACATTATCGTTACACTATTGTGTACCTCTGAAAGCTAATGCAGCTCAGTTTACCAGAAAATGCCATGTCAAACACTCACACTGTATGTAACATTTTTTATAAGTATGATTATCTATGAGCAGTCAGAAAGGTTTTCTGTTTTAAAAATTTGTCTTAAGTAGAATGACACAGTAAAAGACAAACTCACCTGCAGAAAAAGGCATGAAGGCCTCCCTGTTCCTAAATTTACCATCCTCGTCCAGGAAGTGTTGAGGGTTGAAGGTGTGTGGGGTCTCCCACATCGTCTTATCGTGCAGAACAGAATGAAGCATTGGTAATATCACTGTACCCTGAGAAGAAAAAGATCAATAAAAGTGGTGACTTGAACTCAGTCTAAATATTACAATTTTATAAGGACTTTGGATCCATGCAACAGTTAAATTAGATTTTTTTACAGTAATTGTTTTTTCCTCATAAAAGCTTTTATTATTTTAACAGTTTTACACCCCACCCAGAGTCCATCCTGACTATTCAGTGTTCATTCATAATCTTGATCAAAAAGTAGTCTCTTTAGTTTATTTGTTAAGTCCACCCAACCTCCAATAGTACTTAAAGATGCATTATTAACCCTTGATGATGATGATTCCAGGCAACCCATGTAGAAATGAACAAAGTATGTGTCTTTAGGAGAACTTCCAGTTTTCTTCACTGCAGTCTGTCCTGACAAATTTTATGTTTTCTCCATTAAAGGTAGTTGTGACTTATTAAATGCACATTACTTTAACCCAAAAATCCTGAAACCTGAAATATGACAAAATTAACAATTTATTGTAATAATTTGAGGACCCCCAATATACAGCTTGCCAACCTGGGACCCCAGTTTGAGAACCTCTGTGTTTCCCCCCTGACAGAAAACAGTTATTATTCCATAATGGTGTAGATGTGTTCCATTTGTACTTTATTTTTAGATGTCCTTATACTGCCCTAAATATTACTAACGTGTATCAAAATTAGGCTGGAGAGGAAGTTACATTTTTTATTTGACATTCCTACAAAAATAAAACCCTTTAACCCATTTTGCCCTCACTGGCAACAATTGTTGCCAAAAGTATATCGTCATTTTCAACTCAGTAAAAAAATCTCAAAGGTATTATTGCAACATTTTCCACTTATACCCTAGTAGATAACTTAGACAAAGGTTTTGATTAAAAAAATGTTTCCAAGTGCTTCCTATTGCATGACATCACATGCTTCCTTGTCCTTCCAGCTGAAGACAGGGAAGATGCAAATCGTCCTGGAAAAAGGTACTTTTCTTAAAATTTCTTATGATTTTTCCCCCAGACATATTTATAATTGTTTAATATTTCAAGTCTCTAGAGTTTCACTCCCCACAAAAATTGTACCTCGGATAAATAATTTTTTGTTCATGGGCTTCTTTTTGTAAGTGGCAACAAAAGTTGCCAATGCGCATGTAGCTTGTCGCTAGCTAAAGGAAAACACTGTCTGCAGGATTGCACCTAATTTTCTTATTTCAAAATGTAGAATGATGTACAGTGCCTTATTTTAGTCTTCTAGGCATACTCTTCCTAGCAAAATTAATTCGTATGTATTCAAGGCCTGTGTGTATAAGATTTTTATTCACTTCCACACATCTTTCTCTTGCTAGCTAACAACATCATTTTTTTGCTAGCCTAACATGAGCTTGTGTTTTGCTGAGGTAAAAGATGTTGATGTGCAGTTGGAGGTGCACTTTTCTTGAAACAAACACAGTTTGAAAGTAATCAGTGGTGAGAGGGGAACTTCTGTAATTGGTCCATTGAAGCACTGCAAAGCAGGAAAGTTCCATTAGACCCTCCTCCAAAAAGACAAAAAAAAAGCGGAGCGATTCTGCATCACCTGGAGCATCAGCAGCAGCACATCCACAGTGGATTCCACAACAGAGGAAATGTGCCACTCATGGCCTTATTTATTCAAGTTAACTGGTTCAAAAAATGACTTGTTGAGATTTGATAAAGGACGATGGAGGCAAATTTACAGCTTCTGTAGCTGTTGTCACAATCTGTGATGATGCACAGAATCACACCAAGTGTGAACAGTGTCACAGAGGGTCAACACAAACTGAAGCATTGTTCACTAAAATCGCACACCATTGATGTATTTAAAATATACAGAGACACACTTCATAATATTGTAGACCATTAGGGAATACATTAAGCAAGTACTTTTACTTTTAATACTCTAAGTACTTTTAAAAGCAAGTACTTACTTACTTTTACTCAAGTAAAAATGTTGATGTGGTACTTTTACTTTTACTAGAGTACATTTTTGTCCCTTTATTTGTACTTTTACTTAAGTACAATGTTTGAGTACTTTCTCCACCGCTGTCAATCTCTATGCCGAACAAAAAGGGAAAACACTCAACCTGACTGAGGATGAACTTCTGACATTCTATGGTATTCTTTTGATCAGTGGGTACAACACAGCCCCAAGGCAGCGTCTTCTCTGGTCAGATGATTATGATGTCAGCAACACTGCTGTAAAAGATGCCATGCGGAGGAACAGGTTTGACGAAATGTCTTCTGTTCATTTAGTAGACAACATGAAAATCACAGCTGACCCATTTTTCAAGGTGCGTCCCCATCTGAATGACATCAACAATTCAATCCTGATAACAGAATATGTGGCAGTAGATGAGATGATGATTGAGTATTTTGGAAGGCATGGGTGCAAACATTTTACCAGAGGAAAGCCTATTCGTTTAGGGTATAAAATATGGAGCTTAGCATCCTCCTCTGGGTTTGTCCATCAGATGGAGCCATATGTAGGAAGCTACACACATCTGGTGGAAACTGGACTTGGTCAGGGTCCAAAGTGTGGTTTTTGGCCTGGCAGAGAAAGCTGAAATTCCACCTGGAGTCAAGTTTTACCATGACAACCTCTTCACAACCTTGTCCCTGGTGGATGAGACCCTGAGAGGCTATGGCAGCTGTGGCACAATGCAAAAAGCTCAGCTCTATAAGGTTCCTTTCACAGAACCCCAGACCTTCAAGAAGACACCCAGAGGATATGTTGAATATCTGGTTGAGGCAGGGAAGCTGATTGTAGGTGGGGAATGACAACAGCATGGTCACTGTGGAGTCAACCATGGAAAGGGAGTTCATCGAAACTGGGGCAAAGAGATGGAACAAACAAAAACGGACCGTGGACAAGGTCAGACAGCCCAAGTGTATCCAGGATTACAACACACACATGGGAGGAGTAGACCTGCATGACCAGTTTGTCAGCCGCTACAGAGTCAACTTACGGTCCAAGAAGTGGTGCTGGCATGCTTCAGAACTGTGCCATGGTGAACATCTGGTGCTATTACAGGTTGACAAGGCTGCATGTTATTTAGCAATATCACAATCGAGTTTGTGATGTTTGACATGAGGTGATTGCTAGTGCTCTTCAATCGACAAGAGCAACAGTGATGATATCCAGACCAGCATCACAAACTCAAGCACGATATTGCTTTTACAGAACATTCTACAAATGGGACATGACACTATAGAAAGGAGGATATTGATAAATCATCAATAGCATCATAAATGAACAAAAACATGGCACATTCATGCATCTATCATGCTTGTTTTGTCTTTCATTTAAGTCCTGGAAAAGCAGGCAGAAAGATCTCCTCTCCTTCCAGAGGCTGGTAGCCCAGACCCTCCTCCTGTGCCATGGAACAAAGCAAGTAGGCAGGGCAAAAGATATTTAATGGCTGTGGCAATAACTGATGCTGCCAGGTTTGATCATTTCAACCACTGGCCCTGCAACACTGGTAGCAGGTACTAGCGATGCAAAAACTGTGGCGGACGCACATCATTTGCGTGTGAAAAGTGTGAAGTGCCACTACATTTGGAGTGCTTCTAGAAGTACCGCACTGAGTAGAACATGCATAAAAGATGATGGAATGTATGGGATGAAATATATACATATGTGTGTGTTATCAGAGGTTCTAAGAAAAAAAACTGTTGAAGTTTTGAATACAAAATGACAAATTTCGAGTCTACAGACGAATACATTCAAATTGTTTGTTGTTTGGAATTTTATACAGGAGGAACCTGAGGCTCCAAATCTTTGTTATTATTTATTCTGACGACAATATTGTTTTGTTATTACTGTATTATTATTAGTTCTCTATTATTTAGGGTGGCTGTGGCAGAGTGGTTAGGGGAGTCGTCCTGGAACCGGAAGGTTGCCGGCTCGATCCCCTGTCCAGCTGTCTCAGTTGTTTTGTCCAGTGGCGAGACACTTCACCCCTAATGCCTCTGATGTGTGTCCCATCAGTGTATGAATGTGATTGGCACTGATTAGTCTCCATAGCTGATTTGTACATGTTAGCTTTGTAGAGACCTAAGATAGTGTTGTGTGAATTGGTAAATGAGGACACAGATTTTAGTGTGAAGCACTTTGAGTATCCTGGATGGATAGAAAAGCGCTGTATAAGTACAGTCCATTGTCATATGAAAAAGTTTGGGCACCCCTATTAATCTTAATCATTTTTATTTCTAAATATTTGGGTGTTTGCAACAGCTATTTCAGTTTGATATATCCAATAACTGATGGACACAGTAATTTTTCAGGATTGAAATTAGGTTTATATTGTACTAACAGAAAATGTGCAATATGCATTAAACCAAAATTTGACAGGTGTAAAAATTTGGGTACCCTTATCATTTTATTGATTTGAATACTCCTAACTACTTTTTACTGACTTACTGAATCACAAAATTGGTTTGGTAACCTCATTGAGCTTTGAACTTCATAGCCAGGTGTATCCAATCATGAGAAAAGGTATTTAAAACGGCCAATTGAAAGTTGTTCTCACATTTGAATCTCCTCTGAAGAGTGGCATCATGGGCTCCTCAAAATGACTCTCAAATGATCTGAAAACAAAGATTGTTCAACATAGTTGTTCAGAGGAAGGATACAAAAAGTTGTCTCGGAGATTTAACCTGATAGTTTCCACTGTGAGGAACATAGTAAGAAAATGGAAGACCACGGGGACAGTTCTTGTTCAGCCCAGAAGTGACAAGCCAAGAAAAAATATCAGAAAGGCAGAGAAGAAGAATGGTGAGAACAGTCAAGGACAATCCACTGACCACCTCCAAAGACCTGCAGCATCATCTTGCTGCAGATGGTGTCACTGTGCATCGGTCAACAATTCAGCGCACATTGCACAAGGAGAAGCTGTATGGGAGAGTGATGCGAAAGAAGCAGTTTCTGCAAGCATACTACAAACAGAGTCGCCTGAGGTATGCAAAAGTACATTTGGACAAGCCAGCTTCATTTTGGAAGAAGGTCCTGTGGACTGATGAAACAAAGATTGAGTTGTTTGGTCATACAAAAAGGCGTTATGCATGGCGGCAAAAAAACACAGCATTCCAAGAAAAAAACTTGCTACCCACTGTAAAATTTGGTGGAGGTTCCATCATGCTTTGGTGTGGCCAATGCCGGCACCAGGAATCTTGTCAAAGTTGAGGGTCAATTTAAGATTATCACTTGGAATGTTAAGGGCTTGAAAAAAGCCCTCATGCATATGAAAAATTTAGGTGCAGGCATGGTTTTCCTTCAAGAAACCCATCTTACTAACCGGGACAGTACTCGTTTAAAATGTGGGTGGGTGGGGCAGCTTTTCCATTCAAACTTCCAGGGTAAAGCAAGAGGAGTTGTAAAACTTATTAATAAAAATATATCATTTACACCATCATCGATTATGGTGGATTCCAATGGGCGGTATATTATGGTGACTGGAAACTTTACAGTTTGAATGTGATTTTAGCAAATGTTTACGCCCCAAACTATAACAACCCTCAATTTTTCTCTCATCTTGTTAAATTGCTCACCAGTCTAGATTCTCATTTGCTGATCATGGGAGGGGATTTTAATCTATGTCTTGACCCTGGGCTGGGTAGATCATCGGTGAAGCCAGGTTACGTTACATCCAAGTCGGCAACTTATCTAAAGTCCTTTCTTTTAGAATATGGTATTGTGGACCTTTGGTGCTTTTTGCACCCCTGGGACAGACAATATTCCTTCTTTTACCATGCCCATGGGAGTTATAGTAGAATCGATTACTTTTTATTGATAATAATCTAACCTCATATGTTCAGAACTGTGACTACAAACCCATAGTGATCTCTGACCACACCATACCTGAAAATCTTATTAAAATTTATACACTTGAAGAAGGATCACCACTGAGAATATCTTGGCAAGATAATTCAGTTCTTGGCCAGACACAATGTATTTGTTGAACATGTTTCTCTACAAGTTGAGTGTATTATTCTTTTTGGCAAGTTAGGTGTTTTGAACTGCAGTATTTATAGCATCACTTCACTGCAAACATCCTTCATAAAGGGTTTACAGAAAAAGTTTAAACCTAAGTATTGCCTTTCACAGTGCAATAACAGAGTAAACTTGCTAACTGCTGGTATTACAGTAATTCACATATGACAGCAGGTGGAGCAATATACCCCTATTTTAAGCACTAGGATAATGTACCTTTGGGATTGAGTACTGATTCAGAGTTGTGTCCTTATTTGCTATGCGGGGCAGATTGAGTGGGACAATGTTTCCCATTCTCTGCATCTCATGGATGACTGCATTGGTGTACGGCATGTTTTCTCTGTCAGTTATAGAGGGCTGTCTGGATGGACCAATCACAGCATCAATCTCAGCATGGACTTTCTCTGTACAGCCAAAACAAGAAAAATGTGAGTTTGTGAAGTTCACAAATGTCCAATAACAGTTTTCTTGGTTGAATTGTGAGGACCAATAACGAGCTGAATCTACAGTTAAACCCATATAAGAAGCAAAAGCAGTACCTTGTATATGTGGGTAGGAAATCATGTAAAGTAGCCCCCAGTGTAAAGTAGTTGTGGTGGTTTCAGTTCCAGCACCAAACAGGTCCATAGTGCAAACACACAAGTTAATGAGATCAAAACCAGAATCTTTGTCTTCTTTCTATGAAAGACACAAGAGACAGATGAGACGTTCTGTTGACATTTATACTGAAGATGTAATAAATGAACAAAAGACTCACCTCTCCCATTTCAATGAGGAAGGAGTCGATGTAATCTCTTGGTGAAGAAGGGTCGAGATTTTCTTTGTGCTCTTTGATTCTCATTTCAACAAAGTCAATAACCTTCAGTATCAACCTGAATAATTTCTTATGAGGTCCAGGAACCCATCTCATTAACCAGGGCATTGCGTTAAAAATCTGTAGAAAGGGGGAAAATTATTTATTTACCTTTATTTAACCAGGCAAATCCCATTAGGATCACAGATCTCTTATGTAAGGGAGCCCTGGGCCTGAAGACAGCCTAACATGTTTGACTGTGGGAGGAAACCAGGGTACCCAGAGAGACCCCACAAAAGCAGAAGAACATGCAAACTACACAGAAAGATCCCAGGTCCAAACTGGGGATTAAACATTGGACCTTTTTTATTTGAGGCATTAGTGTTAACCACTAAGACATCTAAGCATACACAAGAACAATTATATGGCCTTTGTGCATTGTAAGGCCCAGCTTGGCCTGGGTTCAAACCTAAGTTATGCGTGTTTGCATTAGCTCTTATAGCACAATTTCTGGAGTCAGGAGACTTGTGGTAAAATTGAGCCAAGCATCCCAGCCCAATTTGACTTCAGCTACTGTTGCCCATTAATTGGTTCACTGGTCTGGGGTGGGGGGCATGTCACGCAGATGAGATTTACTTTGACTCATTTGCAACGACTGTAACGGTTTTTTTGCACATGTTCAGATACAAACTGTAGCAAGCTACCAAGCAACAACAACGTAACATTAACTAGTCCATTGTTGTGTCGCAAATAAAACTACACATGCTTTCATAATGATGTTCCCACCCACATCGTGGTGGCTCTCTACTCAAAGCAAACACAACAGGGCTAGAATAAGGCCAGGCTGACTGTGGACAGGCCAGGCCAGGCCTTACAATGCAAAAACACCATTAAGAGTCTCAAGGCTCACCTGTACTGACAATCCTCCCTGTAAGTGCATAACGTCATTTAAATTTTTAAGAATAGTCTTGTACTGCTCGTCACTGTACTCATACCGACTCCCAAACACCAAACAGCAGATGATGTTGGACACAGCGTTGTTTATCAGTGATTGGGCATTAAAAGGCTTGCCTGTCAAGTAAAATAGAAAACAGATCAAATAAAATGAATTCTGGGTCAAAACATAAAATTTCAAATGAATAATTGAAATAAAAATATATTGGTTGTAGCAAAAGCCTTCTTTTTGTACCTTGCTGTTCAGCAAAAGCCTCTGTGAGATACTGGCACTCCTGCTGGATGTAAAGTGCCAGGTTTTTCTTGCCCAGACCAAAGTTTCTCAGTGTGTGAAGAGCAAATCTCCTCTGAGTCTTCCACAAATTACCGTTTGACATCACAAGACCTTGTGGGGAAAGAAATTTTAAGATACTGATGAACTTAGCACAACCATCACAAAACACATCAAACAAAACACAACACCTTGGTTCTTGAAAAACTCTGAAAACAGTGGAACGGTGGGACGATCTACGAAGTCCTCTCCCTGTTCGACCAGGGCCTCCTTCACACTTTTGTAGCCATTTATGACCACAGCTCTTTCACCAAAGAGATGAAGGCTGAAAGTGTTTCCATATTTCTCTGCAAACTGAACACAGACATCAGATTAGTAGACGATGAAGACTAACTTTACTTCACAGGTTGGAAAACCTGCCATAAAATGACCATGTGTTGTCAGCAAAAAATAACTTCTACAAAGATTTTCCATGTCCCATCAGAAGTGGTCCAAGCATTCACACACTGAATGTCAATAGTAATTGTAAGGATTACAAAGTCTATAACTAACCTTAATTGATTGGAGGGAGTGGAAGATGGCAATCAAGACAACCATTGGACAGTTTTAGTATCTAGTCATGTCATTTGGCCTCACCAATGTCCCAGCTGTTTCTCGGTCCATATTAAATACCATCCTTTGAAAACTCCTAAATGATTTTATGTATGATGCTGGTAATTGTGAGCCATTAAACTAGCCCTAGAGGATTAGCTCAAGGATGCTCATTTACAATTTATTTTGTGGGCAGACCACAAAAATCTGGCCCACCTACAAGCTGCTAAGGACCTTAATACTTGACAAGCCCAATTAATTAAATAATGTTATCTTAATGTTGTGGACGGACCTTAAGTGGGCTTCTAATGTGAGGAAACCCACCAACATCCTAGAGTTGAAGCTGTTCTGTACAGATGAATGGGCTAAAAATCCTTCAAGCCGATGTGCAGGACTAATTAATAATTACTGGAAATATTTGATTGTAGTTATTGCTGCGGGAGGAGGTGGGGGGTGTCAAGCCAGACACTGAAAGCAAACTTTTACCTATTTTTGCTACTTAAGTATTGAATCATTACCCTCAATGAAAGAGTGACCAAATGTGACATCTTAGTAACATTTGCTGTCTCTCTTGAAGAGTGGTAGCGGAGAGATTAGAGAAGAAGAGCATATGATTGGAAGGTTTTCAGTTCAACTCTCCAGGTTGACAACAAAAATGTGGGTGGTCAGCCCTCATTTGTCCCACTCTTGAGCAAGGCCCTCAACTCCCCAGAAGCCTTAGATGCTTCACATGTGAAATGGGAAAACTACAGACAACTAATTTCCCCATTGGGGATTAACAGAGTACATTTATGCTGCATTCACACCAAATGTGTTTTGAACGTCAGGGGTGTCAGGTTTACATGCAAAGTCTATGGTGGACCCACGTTAATGGGTGTCGAGAAGTGCTGTGGTATGGTTTAAAGCATTTAAAGTGTTTAAAGCGTTTGACGCACGTGACACTCAAAACACACAGTAATAGTCGAATGCTGGTGTTGGAAAATAGGAACTTTTGCAGCTTGATGCGGCACGTCAACAAATCAGATAGACTCCACTATGTGAAGTAGTGACAAATTTTCCGACGGGACAGTCTCCTGAATGATGCACACTAAAGGCTGAGTCACACTACAAGATTTTAAAACAATTGGCTGATTTTCAAAGACTGATAGAGCCCACACATGAGGATAAAAAATCATGGATATACCAGGTTTGGTCCTTCAGTATGTTGTTCACAGCCACACGGTAAGAGACAAAACACCACACACGAAAGATGTTTCATTCATGAACATTCCGATCTCAGATATTAAATCACGCAAGACTTCCTGAAATCTCGCGAGAATTCAGATGTCTGAGGAAAAATCTCACGTGACCTCCAGAGAGACGTGGGTTCAGAGTAAATAAACATTTGTGACGAGGAAGAAACAATGTTGATCGTTTGTGGACTATTTTTACCAGAGGAAAAACAACTCCATAGGACTTTTAACATCCAGCAGACTTTCTGGTGAGTCATGACAGTTTTTTTGTCTTCTGTATTTTGGAATCCCCTCTGTGTTTACATCACCTCGCTTTCTGATTGGCTACACATCTCATTTACAGTCTGAGAGCCCGGGTGAACACCACACACACTGTGATATCGGGCCAAAAAATCAAACATGTTGAATATCCTCTGTCCCTATGTCCTGCCGAGCTGACTAGCTCACTCAACTCACCACCCACGGCAGGAATATCTGCTATGATTGTCTTTAGAGCCATCACAATAATCTGGACTTCCTTAAGATTGTCAGAAGGGCAAAAACTGGCATGATTTGCTTGTAGTGTGACGCCGGCCTAACCTGAGGCAGAAGGACAGGTGCTTTTTAGCTGAAATCGAGAGTCTGTAGTCATGTCCTGGCAGGAGAAATTGGCACCGATGCGGATCAGCGGCTCATCAAACTGAGCTCAAGACAAAAAAATTTTCTGAAAGTGAGCCTCGTCAGCTCTCTGGTGAGCATGACGTTCTCTTGCTCTCAGTAAATAAAGCAAATCCACTTTCTTTGGTTCATCTGCCATTAAACAGAGACCGGCATTGGAGGAAAACAACCAAGAGGCTCCCAATGCATGCATCGAGCAATTTTGACGATCGGGCATCTGACCTCAAAGTGCACAAGTGTCCAATTTGAGGCATTGAATGTGTTTTTGATGATGAAAATATCACACCTAAATTCGAGATAGCAAGGAAAAAGTTAATAAAGCAAAATTTAAACTGATAAAATATGTATATGTTTTTTTATTTTATTTTAAATGCTAGAAAGAGTCAAGCTACTTTTTCTATCTCTGAAATTTTTTTGTCTGCTTCCATCAGTGACACACGCTAAATCCTCATTACCGCAGTCCTCACCACCTGTAATGCTCTGGCACGCAACATGCCCACTTTTAGCACAGACTATTTTTTATTTGCTCATGGTATTTAGTAATGGTTATCTGCCATCTTGATAAATCAGGCCCCAAGACTGTGACTCTGTGGACTAGAAATTAATCTAGATGGCCAATTGGGTATAACAGTGGCCATTTTGAAAATCAAACATGGCTGTCACCTAAAATGGATTTTGATGGTCAGTAATGGATCCTGTATAATTGAAAACATGGGTTTAGACATCAAAAATTATGACTAAAAAGCAAGTCAGAGGACAAAATGGGTATTTTGGCAGCAATCCAGGAACATAAAACCAGGTTCTCCTTCCTAGCAGTTTATGGACCCAGAATAGCATGAGTTCCTTATGAACATACAAGATTTCAACTTTGAGAAACTGGAACTGGTTTAAATGTTTATATTATTCTTGTTGTGATTTTACAACCTTTTTGGAATGGGAGACACTTTGACCCTGTGTAAGCTGTGCAGTGTTGTTCACAGGAAAAGGTGCAAGTCCACTTTCATGACCCCTTATGTAACGTCTTTTCTGTCATCTGGCCTAAACTGTAGCTCTCACATGTTCCTTTAACTGTCAGAATTTAAAGAGAATTAACTTCAGATTAAATAAATAAATCAATAAACAAATAAATACATAAATAAATAAATGAACTGAAATGCAGAAACACAAATGTGTTATAACAGATATATGTGTGACATGTTGTGATGGAAATAATCATGTACCTCTACTAACTGCAGGTGGAGTCTGGAAGGTTGAATGCGATGAAGATCTCCAATAAAAGGAAGAGCCCGTGGTCCTGGAGGGAAGTTTTTTGGTTTTCTGTTCTTCAAAATGTCACTGAGTAGAAGAAAGACACAGAGAAATACTAAAATACTCCTGGTGTCTAACCACTCCAAACCCAGAATACTGTATATCGCCTCCATGTCCTGGTTTAGCAGCACTGCTACAGTTTCAGCTCAGTCAGGCGAGTTATTACATAATGAGCTGCAGCACGTGCATGTCTTTCAAATTAAAGGCATTTGTGCACATGCGCACTGACTCAGTGTCCTATGA